ATAGCTGTTCTTTCAGGGCAACTGCAGAGGTGATGGGGGTTGAGAGGGGATTCTTCCATCAGGGACTTGTTTCCATTCCCCTCATCAACTTGGTTTGCTCCCTCTGCCTGATGGCAGGAGGGGCAGGGCTTCTCTCCTGATGAACTTCTTTTGGGCTCGGAAGGGTGTGACCCCGGCAGCCTATTTCCCTTTCACTCTCCCTAATGCTTTTTAACCTTTCTGCTTCTTCCTTGAGCTCTGCCACCAGGCACAGCAAGTCATTCACCCGCTCACACCGTACAGGTGTGACTCACTGTCCCCAGACTGATGCAGACCAGGCACTCTGTGCTCAGTGACCTGCACAGCTGTGTCCTGCACAGAGGGTTCTGCCTGGGTTACAACATTCCTCCTGGGAGCAACAGCAACAGTTCTTGCTCGCTTAGATACCGTTGCTGGGTCTAGCAGAGCTAAGGGAATAAATCGAAAGCAAAAACAAATTAAAAAAAGAAGCAGGGACTGTCTGCGCCCTTCCTGCGTTAACTGCCCCTGCTCCTAACTGCCCCCGCTCCTGCTCGCAGTGCTCCCTGGAGCTGTTTAAATCTCCCGCCACCAAACACGGTCCCACCCCCGGTCAGCAGTGAGAGCCTCCCGCGGGCAGCCAGCTCAGCTCCAAAAGGTAGAGCACCGGAATAAACAGAAGGTAAAAGGTTGACTAATAAGGCATTGTTTGAGTTTATTAAGCACGAAAAGGGTAGAACTTAGGTCATTATTTTAGCTTAGGGAGTGTAAACAATGTATTTATGAAGAAGTAAAACTAGATGCAGCTGGACTCAGGACCTGGCAGCTACAGAGCAAGACCAAAGAGCACGTGCCAAACTCAAAGGTGAAAAGTTCAACCTGATGAAGACTATCAGCCTTACTCCTGAGGACCCCTGGGCGACCACCAGAGACCATCGGACTAATGCCAAGTGGGAGGAGATGAAGGATGAGATTATGATAATGATTTCCAAGAACTAATTGTAATAATTACCACCTATTCCTAAAAATAATGAATATGTATGAGTTTTAAATGTATATAAACCAGAAAGTGTTATCTTGGGTGCACAAGTTTGGTGGAGCACTGAGTAAACAAATACCTGCTACTCAGAGATACAAGTCTCTGAGTAGTTCTTTTCCAGGTTTCCTTGGCATCAGTAACAAACAAATATGAAAACATGGATATTTTTAAAATTCTTGTATTTTCCATTTCAGAAACTGTACTCCTGTGAACTCCTCCCCACTTTGAGAAGCAGGGGAGAGAACCTTTAGCTCTCTGTAAGAAAACAATACTTCTGTTTACAAACACAGAAACTGGTGGTCAGGATTTATACTTTGAAAGAGTGCAATTGTGCTAGTGTCCTAGGTTACAATGTAGGGTGTAACTAATAGTATGTTTTCTATTATCATCTTCACAAGCTGTTAAAGCAGGTGGGCTTTGGACCAGCTCAGGAGCCCTCACCGACTGCATTCCCAGAGGACAAGAGCTACCACTGAACCTTCATGTGAAGACCAGATCTACAGGATCACTGCTCCAACAGACCCATCACTCCAGGACTGCAGCCACCATTTAATGGGACTACTACCAACACCCTGACTGACAGGGTGTCAGGTTCTTTTTGACTCTGTCAGTGGGGGTTCTTTTGTACTGTTGCATTATTTTTTTTTGTTTTTCCTATTGTATTTCTGACTTGAAGTCTCTCACTGGTTTGCTTTCAAACCAGCACAGTTAGTGAGGTATTAACAGAAGTTAGTTTCTTTCCAGAGCTTCAGAAGAACACTGAGAAACATGCAATGAATAAGAATTAAGAAACAGGAAAGTATGTATTGGGGTGAAAATTTCAGGCTCATAAGTCCTTCCAAAGTGTAATGTGCATCTATTTAAATGAGGCTGTTTTGCACACACACAGGTATCTCAGGCACATTTCAGTGTTGCAAAAGGAAGTAAGCCCTAGGTGCTTGATTCAGGTTTTTTTCTTTTAACTTGATGTTAAGTGGAGAGCATTTACTTCAAGTGTTGGAAATTCATTAACCTGCCTCTTTTCTTGGCAAGTTCTGAAGTAAATTTTATGCTTTCAATCAGTTATGATTTTATGCAGGATTTTGTTTAAAAGATTTCATTAAGAGCAAAATTTGCCAGTCTGTATTTAGAAACAAGAAGAAGAAAACTGGTGTTCTTTGTAGCATTTTAATGAACATTGGAATCCTGTGTTTTGATGATGGAGTGTGGGTTCTCAACATAGCTGAGACAGACCTTCCAACTCAAAAGAGAACTCAATTTTAGAAAACTGATTTCTGAGTGGTAAATCATCAAAATATTACAGCCCATGCTGCTTTTTTGATTCCTTCCTGTCCATGGTTCTAGTCATGACTGAACAATCTATAAATAGATTTATTGTGTAACTTTAAGAAGGAAAAAAAGTTTGCCCAGAATTCCTTGGAGGAATGGGTCTTTGCTAGTCACCTGAAAGGAAACAAGTTCTTAATCTTTATGTAAATTTTCATTGTACCTATCAAGAAGTTTAGTTTCCATTCAATTGGATCAAACAGTGAAGTTTACCTTGCCGGTTACCGTGTGAGTGGGACATAGCAGGTAGCTGTCTGTGGGTGTGGTGGGAAGCTTCAAGTGCAGTTACACTCATTTGCACTGGCCATAAGGCACATCCACCACAACCAGCACCCTTGTTGCTGCAGGGTTGAGTGGGCTAGGGCAGGAAAAGAGCTTCTTGACCTCGCCTACGGAAAATTTGTAATGTGGCCTTTTTGCTTTTACAGTTCTGTAGATCTTGTGATGACTCTTTGGGTTTTGGTTTGGGTATTTTTTGGTAAAAAGAATAACCACTTCAAACTTGCACAGGAATTCTTAGCAGAAACTGTCAACAGCGCACAGATATATTCAGAAACTTCCGAAGTTGCCTTTTGCTCTCTAAGCAAAATCTTACGCTTATAAAAGGTGAATTTTAGTTAAAATACTATATACGGGTTCATTTTGGTTTTTAAAGGAAAATATTTAATTTCTTCATGTAAGTATTTATGTTTGTACATACTTAGCTGTGCAGGGTGTCTTGCCTAGCCAAATAAGACTGAAAGGAGGATGAAGTGCAGTTTTGCTCTCCAGTGAACTAAGACAGGTATGTCTGCTGTGGATTTGTAACTTCTGGGGAAACAACAACAAAAGATTAGACAGTTTGGTATCAACAGAGAAGTGTGCAGCATGTCAAAAGTATGTCCTTTTTATGTGTGTTTATTGCAGGAATACATGTATGTTACAGATAAATTTTTGAAGGATTTATGCTGTATTTCTAACTAGCTTCATTGGATAACTCCAGCCATTGGATCATCCTGTGTGTTACCAGCAGAGTAGCAAATCACCTAAGGCAGAATTCCTTTGGCAGATCAAGTTTCAGTTAAAATCCATCTAAAATCATATAAATTTAATGCATGTTTCTTTTTGGGATACTTCCATATTCCACAGCCCAACAACATAAACTGGTTCTATACTATGGATGTCAAGAGGCTGGTTGGTTTGTTTTCTGTAGGATGAGATGTATCACACAACATTTGAACAGTCTGGGATTTTCATGGTATTTTTTTATCTGCTTTTTGCACTTAATGTTGTTTCATAGCAGAATGTAAATTTGGTAATAAACATGTATAACATGCCATTTTTCAGTATACTGGTCATCTTCTATACTACAGTTTTCTATAAGAAACCTAACGTTAAGCCTTTTGTGGCTAAAATTTAGTGATTATTATAACTACACACAAGCTCAGCGAGTTGGTATCTGCAGAAGTGTTGGCTTTAGAAGCCAAGAAACTGATTTAAAAACTTGGATCAGGCTATGCTGGGCTGTTGTGTTTATACCTGAGCGCACAGAGATGGCAGATGTGCGGTACGAGCTGCAGTCTGACTTTGCACAGTAAAGGTGTCATGCTTAGATCTAGAACACTTAGAGAGAGCTTTCTGCTGCAGTTTGAAAATCCTTTTACTTGAGAGTGAAAAACATGACAAATGAAGCATAGCTCCTCCACCACTAGACAATATTTGAACACTGAGCCTCCCTTGAAATCACTCTGGTCACGTTTTCTGGTACTTTTGGATTTTTGGGTGGTGTGTGGTGCTTTGGGGTTTTTCCTCTCTTATTTTACAGCAGCTGTTATGTTCCTCTAGCATTATAGTGTTAGCACTATAGTACTGTCTGACACCACCAGTTTTTCCATTTCAGTAGCTGATGTTACGTCAGCCCTACATATCTGTGATAAAATGGGGGGTAGAGACTGAAAGCTGTTCTGTGTGCTTGCTTACCACAGCAGGCAGTGTAACATGTTCATGTTTTAAGGAGCTGGGTACTTGCCTACTGATTTTTTCTGTGCTTAGCACCAAGACTGAAAGATCAACAAGGTAAGAGACCACAGGATAACTGGACGTCTCAAACATGAAGCTGTACCAAAGCAACTGATTTTCACTGTTAAGACTACTCTGTGTAAAAGATCCTCTGAAACACAGATCACAGCCACATCCTGCTGAGGATGCTGGAGGACAAATGCTTGACTTAATCCTGAGGTGTAATAAGCCACTAAAAATGAATGATTTTAAGTGGTGGGAAGAAGTCGCAAAACCCATTGATATCATATAAAATTTGCAGCACCTTCCCTTTTATTTTGCAAAAGTTAAGACATAATGTACGCAAGACTTCATAACACTTGTCTTATAAAAATCTGCCTTGGAAAGATACCTTACTAAAGCAGCAGCAATGTGGTACAGCTGACAGAGGACACTGAGTGTATTTTAGCCAGCAAACCACAAATGGGAGACCAGCTCAGAGGTGTTCTCAAGTATAAAGTGTTATACATATTAATACAAATTTCTTAAGGCTCTTGTGGTAAGAGCAGGCTCTGAAAGTCTGTTGTTTTACCAAATCCTTAGCTCACACCAGCTGATTCCAGGCTGCTGCATCTCCCTCTGCCATGCAGTTCCCTCCCATTTAGTTGACAGGAAAGATGAGCGTTTTTGTCAGTGTGAAACTGGGCTGTGGCATCTGCTTCCTTTCATTCCGGTCACACGTTTTGCTGCTCACTTCTTGATTCACTGCTGTCAGGATGGTGAGGAGGTCTACTCCTCTGCAAAGACACAAGTATGATTTGTATTAGAGAGGCAGCTAATATCAGAAAAATGACCACATTTTCACCTATCTTGATCTATACCAGTGCTAATGGCTCCTGTTTTAAACAGGCTTCAAAGGAGTTAGCTAAGCAGCTTTGAACAACCTGCATGGCATTACTCTCTCCTACGTTACTGTTTTCACTCTGAGCACTCCCACTGTATATCATCTACCTCTGCATCCAAATGAAATTCCTGTCACTTAGAAGGAAAATACAGGTGTTACTGAAAATGAGCTTAGGGAAACATAGGTACCGAGGACAGCTGGACTCCAGGTGCTGGCACAATGCCTGTATGTACCAGGTCCCCTCCTTTGGACTTCTGTAGGAAACATAGTCTTGCAGGGTAGCCATGCCCAGGAGGAAGTCTGCCTCTGCAGGGATGCAGTCCATCTGAAATCTTCTATCTGCTTCTACAGAAGACTCTTGCTCTCCAGAATCCATTTCGATGGGCACACCCTTATGGGAAGCCTCACCTTGGCAGGCCTGAATGAAAAAGACTTTTGGTTTTCCAGCAAGGGAGTTGCAATTCCCCACAGTGAAAGAAGTGGTCAGTTCCCGGATAGGTACTTCCTGCCCATCAACACCATATATAATGCCTTTTTTCCCATGAGATAGGATACAGCAAACAAAACAGTCTTTGTCTCCGTGGTCTGCGCACCGAAGGATGTTCACAGTCTTACGGATTTCGTCTGCAGTGAGGTCTCTATATTCTTCTACTTTAAAATGAAGCTTGGTAAAGACATTTCTCAGAGCCGCTGGAAAGTAAACAGAAGGGGAATTGGAGATGTTTTATTATATGAAAGTTGGACTAATTATAGATTGCATTTCTAGAGATAAATGATCTTTTTTCTTTTTTTTTGTTAGATTCTGCTACATGACTACCCAGGTAGTTACAGTACTGGTCTTAAAATTACCTGGTAGTCCAATTACTAATCATATCTCTACTGAGTCCCTTAATTCTCATTTAAATGCTTCCTTGCAATCTTGCCTCTGTCTGGAAAGCATGTACAA